AGCAGCTCCTCCACCAAACACAGTCATGTTGGTTGATGGCCAAGACATCAGCAAATCAATCCTTTCTTGGCTTCTTGGTTGACTTCGATCTGTTTCTGACCAAAACGGAAGAACCCCCCCTGGCCCAAGGACCAAGGATGTCTGAAAAGGCCAGGAACACTCCGGGCCAAAGCCTCGATCGACTCTCGATTTCAGATGATTTCAGGTTCTGAGTTGATCTGCGGAGCCTGAGAGTCGATGGACGAATGGGCTGTCTGTGCTCACAGTAGCGTCTGGGCAAGAAGGGCTTGATATCAGCCTCAGCCTTCTTCAATTTCTTTCTGTGTGTGGCTTCCGGAGGAGCTTTCCAGCTGCCGAACTGCAGCAACACGAGCCGTTTTCCCCCTTTCGCCGCCTGCGCTTTCGCCCCACAAATTCTTCCGCCCAGCGGCAACGACAAAGTCCATACCAGCGCCTCGGTCGTTCAATAGGGGGGGCAGCGGAAGACTGGGAAAAGCCCGACTGACTAGCACGCCCCACGCCCCAGGTCCAGCAAAAGAAGTATTGACCAAAGATCCATCCAATGATGCGGAGCGTTCTGAGCGCGGGGGCTTGACCCACCAGCTGATTGATATAGATCAGACTCTGTCGATCTGTCGAAAACCCAGAACCCCCCACATCTGTTCGCTTGAAGGGCTGTCCTGGTCAGTGGGATTGTCACCGAGCAATTCGCGGCGGGGGAAGCGGGAACATCGGATGGTCCCCAGGTGGTGCGATAGTTGCATACATTGCGCTGGTTGAAACGGGCTCATTGTAAAGGCATCATAGTCCGTACATGGAGTGTCTGGAGGTGTATTACTCCCTGAAATCATCATGGAAGTGGAGTTCACCACCTGTTTGGTAGGAGGATTGCATTATCCACTTGCATGATCATATCAGGGAGAGTCCCGGACCATCCGAATTCAATGTCCCGCAAGGGCCCACCTCCCTAAGAGCATCCGAACAGGAGGTACATGGTGTTCCAACTTCGGCATACCGCCGGAGATGGTCTTTTCGCCGAACCAAATAGACGCCAAATCATATAGTCAAGGCACTGGCAACGGGTCGAAGACATGACTGGACAGTGGCGCCTCTTCGTTTCGCCCATGGCCTTGGGGTCCGACCGTGGCTCCGACGAAACATCGGCGAGCTCAGCTGGCAAGGCGCCGATGCCAACCAACCAACCTGTCTCTTGCGGTTGTGTCATTTCCGGCTAAATATACATTGTGATGGGCCAAGTGTTTATAGTCTACACCCAGAAAACCCCGGCTCCAAATATAAGGTTCTGAAAGTGTCTGAAAGTAGGGACAACAATGGAACACACATAGACTCTGATTCATTTGTACTTGTCTCCCGGTGGGGGGGTGTAGCACAACACATGCAGGAAAAAAATTATCGTGGAATCCTGAATGTGTTAATGTTCGGTCATTTACAAAAGAAACAACAGTTAGGGCATCTGGTTGAATGAGAAAAAACAGCCATCATCAGCCATCCTATTTGATCTAAAATGAGAAAGTTCAAACACTGTCCACCATCCAATTTGGTTAAATCAGCACACACACAAATTCTTGATGAAGGCTGAAGTGAAGGCAGGCATAATTACTTCCTGCCAACCAAATCATCAAGCCCAGGAACCCACGAATATGGAGGAATTGGGTGAACTTGCTTCTTGATTTCTAAGTATATAATGTACTATATGGTTTCTTTGTGGCAACCACTTACTTACAGTTTCTTTTCTTTTCAGCCACCGACACCCCCGAAACCTACTGACCCCTTCTCCTCCTTGCTGGCTCCTTTGGCCGTCCATGCGGCGACGGGTCCGTCGCGATGGGTCGGGACGGGACGGGTCCATCGGTCCAAAGGGGCTGATCCCGCAGGTCTGCCGGAAGTACCGCCATATGGCGCCTGGCGTGACCACGCCAGCGGTTTTGGGGAGGTCCGGCTCCATGACCGGCTGGAGGATACAGTGGTGGATGAGGAGAGGTGGGCAAACATGATCATGGACAACCATGGAGTTGTCGTGGATGGTTTTTGCAGGTGATACAGTGATACCCAATTTTGACCATCTACTTAGATATACACATTGTATGCATGTGAAAATAGTCTTAAAACAAAACACCAGGGCGCATTCTAACCAATTCCATTTCGCGTTGACACATGGGGGCTGATCCAATATAATCGAATCATATCGAATCTGTTTTGACAAACTGCATTCGAAATGGCACACGGTGTGTCAAAAGCAATGATGTGTTTGGTCGACGAAAATTGCAAGTCAAAAGGCTAGGGCCAACCCCTTCGACCAAATCAACCACCAACAACAACAACAATGCCCCTTTGGGTTGTGTTCGTTACACCGCGGCTCGGAAAAATAACAGTATTGACTGTTCTTTTTGGCTTCGCAAATTGTACATATTCTAGCAGCTTTTGATTGTTCTGGTGAGTGCCTGGTTGTTGTTTTTTTGTGAGTGCATGCTTTGGCTCCGCAGTGCCTCGAACCCACCAAAGGGATGAACTCACCCTCCTCGCCCTTGAAGGCAGTATGCCGCGGCTTCAGCCACGCTTCTGCCCACAGCTCACTGCGCCAGCACGTGGCACTTGGCCTCTTCGGCCTACAATCGCCACCCGACCTTCGTGGTGAACTCATCGCCAGCCCTTCCCAACCTTCACCCTCACATCTTTGTGCAGTTTGACGAGCTGTAAGTGATCCGGTTCCCACATCATGCTCTGAAAGAGCTTCTGCCTTGAGCTTCAAAAACTTGAACTGCAAGGAGCTGGAAGCTCAGAAATCCAACCTGACACATAGGTTTCCGGAGCTTTCTCCTTATATATAGCACGTCAAGTAACTGCGTTGCCTCGACGTTCATCATGATGCCGCCTTCCAGCTTGATCGATACCTTTTGCGCAGTCATGCTATCGATCACGCTGCTCGGAATAGTGCAGAACAGAACAAATAGAACCGAGTAGATAAATAGATAGTCGGATGCATGGATGGATCCATGGATGGATGGACAGATAGATAGACAAATAGATAGATAGATCGGATTTAATGTGTGTTTGTTTCGTTTCGGTATTTGTTTTTACTTTATTGGGGTTGGCTTTGGAAATTTTAAATTTGGTGCGTGCCTGCTTGTTTTTTTGGTGAGTGCATGCTGGCGAGTGGCGGTAGATACTCTAGTTAGAAATATGGAAAGAAACTATTCAAAAGATATACAAAGCACATATAGACAAGAATGGAATAGTGCAGAACAGAACAGAACAGAGCAGAATAGAACCAAGCAACAAATAAACAAATGGATCGATGGATGGATGGATGAATGGATGGATGGATGGATGGATGGATGGATGGATAGGTAGATAGGTAGATAGGTAGATGGGTAGATGGATAGATGGATAGATGGATGGATAGATAGATGGATAGGTAGATGGATAGGTAGATAGATAGACAGACTGATAGACATAATGGATATATATAGTATCCTTCCTTCCTTCCTTCCCACATGCCACCACACAAAAAACACACCACACAAACTAAATCCATGGCCCTCCGTTCCACCGTGCGGAGGACTGGCCTGAGCGGATGGGCTCGCAGCGGAAGCCCACGTGGTGGTCCGGGCGCACCACGAAGCAGCACTGGCCGTGGACGCCGAAGCGCTCGTGCGCCTGGAAGAACGGGGGGATGAGGCACCGAAGAAAAGACGGCCAAGGATGCAGGAGAGACCGGTTGAGCCTGACTGACCTCTGTTTTGATAGGAACAGATCATATTTTGGATAGTTGATCCTCCAAAACAGGGGTCACAAAAAGGCTCCAGGTAGATTTAGCCACCAGAAACAAGAACCAATTATGAGCATGCTGAATTTTTTGAGCGCAGTATTTGCGTTGGCGGAAAGGACAGGGCTTAGGACACAACATACATATTGGAGAGGACCACAACTCAAAACAATATTTGCCTTTAAACATATTTGACGCGTATTACCGCATTAATATGTATTAATACTTGACCCTTTTGAGGCAGGACGATGTCCTGATGCCCTCTGTCCCTCTGCCTTGCTGGAGTTCCACTGGTCTGAATATATAGCCCTGCACCACCCGAAGTACAATTGATGCTCACCATATTGGCTGCTTAAAGGAAACGAGATCCATTAAACAAAAATAGATGCACTCCATTCAACAAGGATTCACCAAAGAGGAAACTCCAACAACATCACCAAGCAAAACCGTACCCTTATACAACATCCAACCATGCGAGTTCCCGGTCCGACTCACGAAGCGGTTGTTGACGGTCCGCTGTGGTCCCCAAATCCCCACGTGGCGCCCGGGTCCCGATTTCCTTTTGCGTCCTGACGTCTCACACGTGTGTAGTCAGTGTAGTCAGGCCGCACAAGACCTGCTGGCACCGTCGGGCGTCTACAGATGTCTACAGGAGGCAGGTGCTTCCAGGCCAGACTTGGCAGACTGTCCAATGATCATGACACCCTCAACATCCTCAACATAGGCCTGTTGAGCCTCCAGAAGCTAGCAGTCAGTCCAGTCCACATCGCTGACGAAGAAAAAAACCCACCGTTTTCGGACTCGGAGGTCCGGGTACAGTCGTTCCTGTTGTGGCTCATGTGCCGCAAGCTACTTTGAAGGGTCCAGGTATGAAACAGACTCAGTCCACGAACAGTTGACAGCCCGGAGTTCACATACGTTGAAGTGTCTGGCACTGGAGTACCACATAATATACATAAATATACTTAGCAGATACCAAGTAACTTTCAACGGTCCTTTCCTGGCAGGTATATAGAGATACTGAAATACTCTAGTTTTCACCCAAAAACATCCTCATGCATGTTCCACCTGTTCTCATTTGAGTGGGGTGCCACCAATGTCCTCCAAAAGTGTGATGACCTTCAGGTCACTGCTTTTCCATGGGTATGGTACACTCCCTGATGGCATGCCCTCGTGGATCTCAAAAACAGCTGGCTTGCCGCTTCCATGACGCCAAGGCCATGAACTCGCCCCTGCTCTCCACGGCAACTCCACCCACGCGCGAGCTCCCCGGGCGGTGGTTTTCACCGCTCAGAGTTGGGTCTTTGTGCTGCCTTTGGAGCCTCAGCGTGACCACGGTCCCGGTGGCCACGGGATATGGAGGCCAGGCGTGCTTTTCGTGCCGTTTTCGGGTTTGAAGGGTATGGAGGCCATGTTTGTTGACCAGATTTTGCCATATAGTCTGGGAATTGCTGTCCATCTACTGGGCAAAAAAAACAAACATTCCCCCCAACAAAGGTGGATTTATCCAGTTCGGGAACAGAACAAGATCACCCTGAAAACAGCAAAAACATGCAGGTATCATGTCAATCAGATCGGTGAGCCCGGTTGATGGTTCATCCACAAAAATATCATTGGGACTAGGATGGCGTTTTAACGGTGACTTTCACGATTTCACGCGCCAAAGCGAGGCGAAGCCGCCCCAAACCCAACGAGGAACCAGTTCGTTCACCGTCCGACGCGGACGGCGGAGGCAGTCTGCGAAGAGGAGGCAACATGTATGACTGTACACTATTTGAATTGGAACATGGATTGGAATGATTGGAATCAAGGGAACATGGATTGGATCTAGACTGTTTGGATTGGAACATGGATTGGAATGATTTAGATGTACATTCTTGGATTGCTCTCTACTCTATGTCACAAAAAGAAAGATGAGAACAACACTAACCCCAAATAGAACAACTTGGAACTTGGAACCAACAGAAAAGAATAGAACACAAACAAAACAAACAAAACTGCTTTCCATGATTCAAACCTCGCCTCCCCTTTGTACAACTTCAAAGAACCGCCTTCTCCCCCTTTGCCTGGGAAATCAGTCTCGGGGATTCACTACAGAACCGAGAAAGTCATGGGAAAATCCACATCACTTCCATCCGCAGCACCCGCTCTTCCATCATCTTCCACTGGTTGAAATTGGTTGAAATCCACACAAACTTCCATCATCTTCAACCGGGGGGTTGGAGGCTTTTCTCTCTGAACACCAAATGGTCATGCACCAACCAAAGAATTCATGAGCTCGAGGCTCGATCTGGAGAGGGCACTTCGTACATCTTCGTACCAACCAAACCATCTTGGCACCCGCTTTCGCGTGAAAAAACCGCCGGCGCACTGCGGGGGCGCCGAGGCGCGCTTGGGCACTTCGGGCTTGAGCTCCTCGGGGATCTCCGGCGCCGCGTCGATGTCCAGCGAGGAGACCGCGGGCACTGTTCCGGTGCCCAAGGGCCTTCGGAGAGAGGCGACGCGTAGTTGATGTCTTGTACAAAACATCAAACTGGAGTGTCAAAGTACCGGAACAAATGGGTACGGGTACCTGTTCTTAGAGGGTATACGGTATACGTTCCATTTTCCAAGGGAGGAACGAAGAAAAGGGTCCAATAATAAGTCTTATCGAGTATATGTATCCAATAATACTCGAACTGGACATCATGGTGACGTGAAAACTGGATGGTATGCCCCCCTTGGATGACCATGGCCCCTCCGATTTCCAAACAGGTGGTTTTCACTCAGTCCACGTGATGATTCCGGGTTGATCCAGTTGCCCAACTCCTGCCGCATGCGAGCTCCATGGATGTTGTGCATGCGATGCGCTTCAAGATACAAAACGATCGCCCCCTCAAGTCATGCTGATCAAAACAGTCAGTATTGGGATGCCCGGCAAGCCGACCATCCAGTGACCCAGCAACAAGCCATTGTAACAACATGTAACAACTATGTTCAAAGGCTGTGTCGTGATGATTCAGTCCACACAATTCACCAGGACCTTCAGTTCGTGACCTCGAGTCCTGGAGTCTCTAATAGAGTGACCTTTTGCATGTCTGACCTTGTCTGAAGGTCCGGGAACTGATCTCCGCTGAAGATGCCCAAAAGCCAGGTGTAGCCCCAGTTCGTATCACTGGCAGCGCCCACTGACCGTTTTCATGTTCATTGGATGGTACACACAGATGGGTATATAGAAAGTTCGAGAAGTGCATGTTGCTTTCCTGGTTGGACTCGTTTGGAATCCCAATCATATAACACAAACAAACGATGATTGTCCGACACTCGTTCCGCACACCGGATCGGCAGCAACTTGTGTTCAGGTTCCATCTGATCATGTCTATGATGCATTGCGTTGCGTGAGTGGCCCTGTTCCTTCGGGCCCTTCGAATTACATTCAGTTGGCCACAGCGGTATCTCTGAGCACCGAAACCAGAAAACTTGAGATGCGTTGTGTCACCCGCTGCTCTCCTTTCGCCCGGGTGGAACCTCGTCCTTGTGTTTGGTCAGTCCAAGGCGCAGGGTGATGGTAGGCTCATCTTCCAGGTCACTTTGGAGCTTCCTAAGAGGCAACTGTTTCAACTGTCATTGTTGGGCTACACTGTTCCAAATCTGTCATGCCCTCATCACAATCCGTATACTAAGAACAACCCAAAATTGCAACAAAATCCCTACAAGTCCATTCCGACCCAGGAAAACCTGGTTGAGTATGGTGCTTTTGTATGAGCAACTCCAGTATTTCATGAGGTCATTGACTTGTATAGGGAATCGTTGGGTGAGAAATGAGGAAAAAAAATTGCATGCCAGGCATGCCACCGACCCGACCAGTGGGGCGACCCACCCGACCGGGGCCGAACGATGGACGAGATGGACGGAAAAAGTCCTTCCATGCGAGCGATTCAGGTGTCAGGTGTCTTCATGGGAAGAACATAGGCCTCTGCTCAAGGGGTCCCACCCCCAGGGGGCCCACCCCCTGGAGCTGGATGAAAAGTGTATGTTGAAGAACTTCCAAGCCTGCTGGGTTTGAGAAATAGACGAGTCTTCTGCCAATTAAAGTACACGACATCCATACAGCAAGTTTTCCTGACACGGACTGTCCAGACGGTCTTCGCTCGTGAAAATCGGTAAGTACATAACATAGAGGGTCATGTCTTGGGTCCATCCCATAACCAGCAACAGTGAATGATGATGATTAGTATAGGGCCGTTTCAAACATAGTGATACTGTTACAGGCTTACTGAGAAAAACCCTGCTGTGATGTCACCCTTTTCAAGGGGTACGAACGAAGTCGGGTTCAGATATATCCAGTAAATCCAGAAACTCACTGTACCCCAGACGCTCCATATATGGCATATTTACCTTGGGGTGGTTGAAAAGGGGTCAATGTAGGCATATATGGCAGTCCCATGGAGTGTTTGGGTACTAGTATACCGACACCTGGCTCGTCTGGACCTGCTTTCAGAACATGGATCGATCGAGTCGATCTGCCTCACCGCGAGAACGTTTACAGATCGACTCGGTATCACATTATCCCACCACTTTTCCACTGCCCCCAAGCGTACCAATTTTCACAAGCTATATATATATAGGTTTTGTATGTTTTTGCTTACCCCCATCTTGTCTCTTCTTGCAAAAAGTATGATACAGTAATTATCGTTCATCTTCCTGTTTCAAATAAAAATACGTAAAGACGGTGCACCTTACCGTAGGATCAACATGAATAAACCACATTAGGCACCAGAAACGACCCCGCCCCCCAGCGATTGACTTCACTTCCGTTCTTTTTTACGTCCCGTCCTTCAGCCATCGCGTTCGGCGGCGGTGGCGACTATCCCAGAACTTCGGCTTGGACGACATCCTTTTAATTCATCTTAAATGTTTACCTCACCTGCAAGTCAACCCATCCACCACTGCCGCTTCGGGGTAGAATATGAGTCTACGGACAAACTCTCTCAGGATCTACGGACAGTCCAAGGCGCTGTCCAAAGGCACTGCGAGCCTCGGGCCTTGCGTGGGTGGTTTTGGTCCGTTTTTGGAGAGTCTTTATAGCTATAGCGGGTTCTTGAACCTCTTAAATGCGGTCTTTGGGTTGGTTTTACGGATGATACGGAAGACCTCTTCGACTGGAAGACCCGAAGACCCATTGAATCAATGGAGTCCACCGGATGTACCTGCAAATCGGTCCAGCTGAAGAGCTGCTGCTTCTTTAACCCGATCGCTGGGGCGTTCTGCTGCTGCGTTCTGCATCCCAAACAGCGCCCCGGATGTTCCGCCCGGCTCTGAGGAGGGCTCTGAGGAGGGTAAAAGAGCATGGTGCTTTGAACACTTCCGCATGCTTTCTTTAAGCCATGCGCAGGGTTGCTAAAGCAGCCTAATGGATCCGATGGTTGATCAAAGACAGAGCCCCTAAACCCCCAAAACACATGGAGCTGGATCTTGCTCGAGCGCGCGAATGAGAGAATCGGCAGAATCGGCTGCCGTCGTCCAGTTTCTCCCAGATTACGCCCAGATTGATCATCTCAACTCTCCCAAAATGAGAAAAACCAGCATCCTCCAACCAGTCACCAATTGAGATCTGTTAAGGCCCTTCCCAACCCTCTAGAGAAGACCTAGACCAGTCGGAGAAGACGCACGTGGTGTGGCCATTGAAGCACGTCACCGTTCCGGGGGGGGGCGCGACCCTTAAGGGTCCCCCCTTATTGGTCGACCCAGTTTCCTCGAAAGCGTGATGAATCCCCCTTTATGATAGTTAGTAGCTAGCGTGGCACTTGTTACTACTAGCTTCTTGTTACTACTAGTAAGGCACCTGTTACTACTAGCGTGGCACTTGTTACAGTTAGTTAAGGAGAAAAGTGCTGCATGGATGTAGGACATCTTGAAAGTCAATTTGTGTCCAACTTGTCTGCCACATACACGTATCAAGTGCGTTCCTGTCACACTGGTTAGACAAAAGATATTTCATCTGGTCTCTATATATAGAGGACAGCAAGAACAAACTGTTGCTGTCCAACCAATGTCTGACCCCTGGTTCTGTCTGCAGTAACCTGTTCATCCCGGTGTTTGAGGTCACTTAGACTACTTAGAGCTGTATATATAGACCTGTTACGACCCGAGGTCACGATCCAGGACTCCTTCCCTATCCAGGTCACAATTTGAAGAAGCGAACGACCGAGGACCGGATCGGGTAGGCCCTTCTCCTAACTCCGCACGACCGTTTGGACCAATTGGGCCATGTCTTGTGCCCAGACGCTCCGTGAACGACGCCCACCTGGTCCCAAACCAAACCATAGGGATTGGTGAGAACCCCCAGACCCCTCCAAAGGATTCGGGTCCGACGCCTCCATCGGTTCGGGTCCAGGAGCCAATAAGTGTGTGTGACTTCATTTGGGTCCAACAAGACAAAGATCCAAAGACGTCCAACACTCCAACACCTTCGACTCCTTGGAACGAACGGCCCAGGGGGCCGTTCGTGTTCACCAATGAAACTGGGGTTGGGCCAGTGGAGGTGTCCTTCAAAGACCACGAGTCACGAGCCTTTTTGCAAGGATTGGGTGGTCCTGAGGTCCAAGAACCGGACATGCAAGACCTTCCCAGGAGATGCACCCCATGCCCAAAATCCATATCGCGCTTGGAGAACCAGTCTCAACCAGAAACAAACACATGGTAGTTCCGGCAATATTTGAGATTCTTGACATAGCTAAGTCACTAGGGAACGATCCATTTGCTTCTGGTGCGTCCTGATGTTGTTTGGGTTGGACCGGACCGCAAAACCGGATCTCTCGCCGACCCTTTTCTTCGGTTCGTCCCTTAGAACGGACGTAGACGACCCGTCTGACCCTATCTATCCCATTTCGAAAGAGTCTCAGCTATCCGGACACAATGCTTCCACACAACTGATTGGGGGGTTTGGGCTTGTTGGGTCACAGATTCCCCCTTCTTGTCACTTTGTGAGGTCTAGGATTTTCTTCCCCTTTTCTGATTTCAGAGGAACCAGGTCCACTCCAGGTCTATGAGGCTATGCACACACTGGATGGACTCTCAAACCCTCCCGCGCCTCATGGGCATGGCCTTCAGGTGGCTGATGGGCTCCACCACGGTGTCCTGGCTGGCTTTCAGCAGCATGAAATCATATCCCAAACACTCCATGGGACTGCCATATGCCGATCAGTTGGGGTGGTTGAAAACCGGGGTCAATGGGGCGGCAGTCCCATGGCAGTCCCATGAGTCGAGTCTGGGTCGGCGCCAACGACCGTCGTCGGACCTCCCAGGACGTCTTCGCGTGACGGCAAGGCCGCGCGCAGTGCCGCGCGGCCGAGAAGAAGCTGCTCTCTTTGGAGGCTGCTTCCAAGCACCTGGTGCCGGGACTGGGTCGTGTCAAAAAAGAGGCGTGGGGTACGGAGGTGTGGTAGGGGGTGGGAGCTGTTTTTGATCCGGATGGCCTGGTGAAAAGGATTTATACCATGCGATTTTATAAGGGTTTGACATGCCAAGATGTTCATACAGATGACCTACAGCTTTTTGTAAAGGTACTTCACAATCTCTTTCAACAAAAACACACAATCCCTAGGGCTCCAACCACCTCCATTTCGAAGGTGGTTAGGGTGAGTGCCAGGGGGTCGAATACCACCTTCTCAGGAGGTGGGACAGGAGCCCTAGGGAATAAACATAGATTCTACTCACCAAAGCTGCTTCAGGCCTTGACATCTCGAACGTCGATTGGCCGGGCCCACTTGGTGCGCCGAACCCACCACTTCAGTGAGGCCGAAGCGGGTCGTCGAGGCACGTGCCAGGTGAGGGATAGACCCATTCTGGAAGCTCCAGATCTTCGAAGGTATAGTCCTGGAAGGCCATTCTGGGCGGCACTTTTGGAAGCCGAGGGGGCGTTTTAAACATGGCGGTTTTGAGCGTTTGACCGAAATAGAAGCTCCTCCATATTCTGGGTGGTTGGTGGTGCAAAAATAGATGCCATTAAGTTACTTATTATATAGAGTTATAATATGTGCTATAGAACCTCATTCCGGAGTCCTCATCGGCTCATCGGCTCGCGATGAGGAAACCAGCAACACCGGTGCGAAGTAGGGAATCACATGGAACAACTCTGGGCCCGGCGAATCGGGGCCCGAGCCTGTCCGGACCTCCATGGCCGAGAGAACGTTCGGATTCTAAGGGGGGATTGTATGGGGTTGTGATCCAAAGCTTGCAACGGTTGCCCTGTAGTTGCCTGGTCGCTCAAATTCTAGTCGCACCCGTGCCCTGCCATGTACTGGGAATAAAGACATGGTATTTGGCCGGGGGCAACTCACACCTCGTCGTGGCCTGGAGCAACTCGTTTTGCACTCTTCATCCACCAGCTTGATTCAAAGCAAGAAAGGATTTCACAGGCCAGGAGCTGTAATGGTCCAAGCCCTGGTTCGATGGTCATGAAGAGAATGAAGGTTCACAGGATTAGGATATACGGACCAAACCTCAAGATAGACTGAACTGAACAGTTAAAAACAGCAAAACTGTTTTAGCATACAGTCAAGAGCTTATGCTCCAATTTACATGCTGCAAGCCGCGTGCTTTTTCAAAAAACAACATGTCTCTTCCACACAAATGGAACCCCCATCGTCTCAACTCGTCTTGTCTCCGGTCTCCGGCCAGACACTTCTACCTCCGGCCAAGTCTCTGGAAGGGAGAAGAAGTGCGTCATTGGAAGGATGAAGGTTGCCGCATCCTGCTCGCTGGTGTTGCTGGATCGCACCCAGCAGATGGGGGGAGAAGGGAAGCACATCGAAGGAATGGGTACCTGAGACCTTCCTCACACCACGAGACACTTTGAGAAATGCGCAGCAGGAAGGAGGCATTCCCGTGCTGCAGCGGCCTCCAGCATGGAAGCATTGAGTAGTCGAGTTTGACCTTGAACTTGGGAACCAGTTAATTTGGTCAAAGAAGAGAAACCACCTTACCATCAAAGACACCCAACCCTCATCCATATCCCATACCTATGGCAATTCTGCTAGGGGTGTCTTACTACCCATTTTATAGATATATGATATAACATGGTGATTCTACCCCCTGTGGGACTATATTTTGACAAACTAACCTTAAACGCAAATATACAAAATCACCTCCCCCAACCTACATGGCGAGTGGCTTGGAGACATGTATGGACATGCTTTGGATGGATCACGGTGGAAGATTACAGCTTGGATCCCATCCCCTTTCCGCTCAATAAAATTGTCATTGGATGGATTCCCCTAGCCTTTTGAAGCCATCAGCCTCAAATCTCTTAGGATTTGTGATGTGTGTCCGGTGGTGGGTTGAATTATTGATTTTTTTGGGCAATCTGGTCTCTCTGGGGGGCTTAATGCCGTTTATCTCTCTATGAAATGGGGGGTCCCACCCCCTGTTTGTTCATAGTTTCATTACGTTTGTACCGTACCGGTCCTGGTAGTGTGGGCTGACATGTATATAATATATATATAAAGGCAAAATCTCTGACATTCTATGATTGACGGTTTGGACTTCTATACAATTTTTGTATGCCAATGCTCTTGCAACTGTAAATATGGTTTTGGATCAAACAAATCTCTATCAAGAGATATCAAGAGAGTATCTGTTTTTTGATGCACCTTTTGATAAGACCAAATGAATCACATCACATGTCCAACTCAAAAGCAAGATCAAGCATCAACATAAAACCATTTCTCTATAAAATGATTCACCAACCCCTTGAGGGGTCTATTGCCACGCTTTATGCACATGTAAAACCCAAATTTTATAATGGGTATTGCCAACCGTCATCCATATCCCTATAGCTTTCCTACCAGCCGTCGTACTTCTCACCCACCATCTCCACCCCTCAAACCTCCAAAGACCCCCCGCGCTCACCGCTCGGGGTCCAATCTATCCGCTAACAGCTCCGCATCCGCAGGGTCCATCCGCTCGGTCCTTCAGGAGCGAGGTGTTGTGACTCATGTTGTGAGGCGTCACGAACATCCGCTTGCAGGTGATGGAGGCATAGATCAGCCTCCCATGCTCCTGCGGGATGGGCGGCTAGTGACACAAAAACAAGCAAAGGCGGTGGATGGGTGAGTCATCCTGACGTACTTCATCATGCAATCATGCAACATGGGCCATGTAGGACTGACGATCGTCCACTGGACAGCACAGCTGGCTTTCCACTTCTGAATCGAGAAGGATGTTGATTTGGTGGTTTCGCTGGGATCATTCAATATAGCTCTGATGATCACAATATCAAGGGAACCTGACACATCCGTCTCGACGCTGCCACATGACATCATGATCTCTGCAAGGCACACCGTTCTTTCTGCAAGGCAACGACAACTAGTCCCCAGAAGGGGATTCACCCAAAGAGAGACTAAATCACCTTAAACATCCTTAAACAACACCAACAGAACGTTTCCCAAAAAAAATACTGGCAGTAATCCAGTTGTCGTGTAACGTTCCCGTGTCATTTCTTGTCCATCCGCGGAGGGCTTGGCGGTCCAGAGGCACCAGTGCATCTTGTTGGCCATGGATGATCAAGGTGGGACTGGTGATCTTGGGCGTCGAGTCCTGAGTACTTCAGCATTGACCGTGGTGACCGTGGTGAGGTCCCCCTGGTGACCGTGCGTTTGATGTTGGACGTTTGATGTGAGGTCCAACGGTCCAACACATGACGAAAGGGTCGTATGAAGGGTGCTTAGTTATTTGGGTAGCCCCAACACACATTTGAAACAGATACTGTAAGCTACACATACACTACACGTCCCTAAACTCACATGTTGCCGCCAGCTGGCAACATATGTATCCAGCCTTTGTTCAATTGCTGGAAGCGGCAGGTTGCTTGTTTGGGAGTGTTTGGACTTTGCAACAGGAAGATCTTTCATGATTTCCGTGCGGAAAAAACGTGCCAACATATTTTGCATTCAAAGAGCAGATTCCGATCGCCAAATCGGGCGGCCCTATACCTGGACCGCGGACCGCCGTGCTCCGCCCTGATTTTGGGCTCAAACAGCCCCAGAGCAGTTTTGGGCCACTGTCCCACCCCCACAGCCACATCCCTATTGTTCTTTGGAGCCATTAGGTTGCTGAAACACCACCGGCATGGAACCTACCTATCTCATCACCCTGTTGCCACGTGCGCGCGTTGCATTGCCTTGCCCTGCCGGGCATCGCACGCCCCAACGACTCGGCGACCTCACAACAAGCAGCCAGGTTCTTGAAGCGATCGGAGAGCAAATCGGCCAAGCGCCCCAGCTGGTGGCGAAAAAGCTCCTTGATGCCTGGGGGCACGGAGCGGGGCGATCAATGAACGAAACGAAGCTGAACGACTCCCGATGCTGGAGATGGATATTGGAAAGTAAAGGTTCACTGAACGTTCCACCTATTTAGTTTGTTTAGTGGGGTGCCACCAATCCCCCAAAAAGGTTAAAGGATGTTAAAGGTGATCCACGGACTAGGTACGAAACGGAACAAAACAAAATTGAAGGTCATGTGGAATGTGGATTTCCTGCGTCTGCGGACGAGTCGAACAAAATTCTATGGTGGTACATCCCTAATGTTCCAACCACATCCTCAGAAGGTAGTTGGAACACCGCCGATAGAGGGCCGTTGTGTTTCTGAGGTTTTTTTGATTTATCATGTATTTTATGTGTGAATTGTGATAAACATGGGTTCTGGGTGGGTGGGGTGGGGGGTGGGGCTGGGATATTAACGTCCGTTGTGGATGCAGTATATGTTCTGAGTTACGATCTCTTCAGCTAACGTGGACCTTTTTTCATGCCCAATCGATCCAGCGGCACTGTTTTTTTCCAATTTGGTCTCGCTTCTGGTTCTTCGCTTGAAACCTGTGACAACAGGATTGTTTTCAAACTCGAGGTTTTAAAACCGACATCAAGAAGGTTAACTATCCTGAATTCGCTAAAAATTGTTTAAGTTTGTTTTCTAAGCCTTGAAAGAGCTTGCCCTTTCACAACAAAACTAAAGAACTTTTGATTACCAACAAACAATCAAACAACATGAAATTGCAGTGAACAACTCGCCACGCAGAAGGAAAAACAAGAACAGAGTTGTGCAGCTTGTAATTTTGGCACTGGCAGGCAAAGTTGGTACATCAAAAACCCGCCTCAAAATGGTCAGAGCCAGAGTTTTTCCACTTATTCCCGAATGCGCAGCGAAGGGTTCTCGTTTAACTCTGGGGGTCTGGGGGTAGACTCTTGTTCGTGACTCTTTGTCAGTCCCACAAGAGTGTCCTACAAGAGTGTTTCGCAAGAGTGTCCTACAAGAATGCCATACAAGAGTGTTTTAAAGAGTGACCCACAAGAGCGTCTTACAAGAGTGTTCCGCAAGAGTATCCCACAAGAGTGGCCGGCAAGAGTGTTCGACAAGAGTGCCCTGCAAGAGTGTCCCACAAGAGTCACAAGTTTCGGACAAGAGTGTCCCACAAGAGTGTCCTACAAGAGTGTCCCGCAAGAGTCTCCGACAATAGTGTCCTACAAGAGTGTTCCGCGTGAGTGTCCCACAAGAGTGAGCGTCACATAAGGTGTCCCACAAGAGTGCACAAGAATGTACCACAAGGGCCCTGCAGCCGCAAACACCTGGCAGTCAGGTGGTTTTGGGAATGGCTCTACAAAGGTTCCTCCCCAGAGATGTGACACACATGCTTGTCAATGAGGGAAAACTCATAGTCAAAGGAGCTTGATGCAATATCGTAGAAGCATGGATAATAAATCATAAGTGTGAAAGCCCTTCGGTTGTAAAATGCACAAGCACAATTTCTCACAACTTCTTTCTCAATCACTCCAAAACTCTGGCGCTTCCCGCGTAGAGATGCTCAGCTGGAACCTTCTGCCGCTTCGTCGGTGGGATCTGAGCAGTGAACCGAACTCATGAGCCAAACTCAATGAAACTCTGAGCAGTGAATCTGCCGCCTGCGATGACGCCGCTGCTGAGGAGCGGACTTGCCGGAGTGGAATAAATTTATAGGTTTTCTGATAGTACCCGGGCGGGAATCGGCGGGAATCGATAGGTGGGTTGTTTAACACCATTCGATATCTCAGGCATATTACGGGTGCACCAAGACCAAAACTCTGGTATGATCGCTGCCCATGCCTTGAGGGCCCCGTCGGAGATTTCACCTTCGTCGGGGAACTCAGCCCACGTGTCTGAATGATAGACGACGTATTTGTACCATTCAGAATAGCCTGGCCTCTTTCTGGCAATGGGGACAAATCTTTGGGGTCTTCTTGACAACCTTCTTGGCAGCGATCTTCATCTTGGCGGCCGACTCTATGTACTGATGTGAAGTTTCAGCGGGCGCCGGGCAGCGTGAAAAGGCAGTCCTCTTCACCACATACCCACCAACAGCGCTCAGCTTCTTCCCGAATCATCCGGAATCACAACGTCTGGGCCAATGTCACAACAAGCCATCACCCACACCGAGCGACAGGATGACGCGCATCAAGTTCAACCACCTGCGGCCAGGAGCCGCGCTGCGCCACAAACATGTGGAGAAATTGCAGTTGTAGAAAAATAGGCAACAATCAACGGTGGACTTACTTAGCCCGGTGTGTCTGGGGACGTAAGCAATTCCTTGCTGGTCCTGCCTGTGTGCACACAGGCCCCACGAAGTCCAACAAAACATGGGGTGAGGGAATGGCTTTGGGAAGACTTTGTGGGGTCCCGCCCTCCCCACTCCTTGTCTTTGATTTGCTGTTTGTTTCCACTGGCTTGTCACCTGCCCAACTTAAAATTCTGCGAGAAATAGCAGGCTGAAACGCAATAGGCTCTCTCACATTGCCCCAAGGCTTGAACTGTTTACAAAACTACATGGCAAAAGGTATCTGACAAACGCCCAGAGGTGCTAAAGAGTTCCTTCCCAGCACTAGGTATTTACATGTGTTATTCGGCCACTAAGCTTTGGATGTGTTGCAGTAGAGGTTGCTTAGTCATTTTCAATCTCAACACCAGATTGTTGACTACAGTCTGCTGTGGCGAGCCTTCTGGTGCCCGAGTTCCGCCTGCGTGTGCGCAGGCTGGCTCAGTTCGGCCGTGGGGGCAAAAGTTTGAAGTTCAAAGTTCAAAGGCACCTACTCAACGCCAAGCAATCATAAGCAGTATTGGGATGCAAGCACCAGGATACTTTCTATGGGCAGGCGCTTCTCCGAGCTTTCTTCTACCACCAGTCTCAACAGTCTCAACATGCGGCAAATATCCTCGCGGCTGAGGTAGAGGCTACTTGCCGCGCTGAGGATCAGTGTCCTGTTCTCAGTGCGATGCACGGTTCGGTCGGAAAGTTCTGCACGCCGTTCTTGGCCAAGCCTTTCTTAAACATACCATCAACGAAGCTCCACAAAGGGCAATCCACCTACTTGTGCTGATTGGTTACCTCGTTCGCTTTGCCTTGCTAGCTACCTAGCTTTTGCCTTGCTAGCTACCTGGCTTTTACCGAATCCAATCTCAACAACTTCACATACACACACACACACATGTACGCTCTAAAGGCTTGCCCCAGACTGGCCTCCTGCATAACCAGGCACAGCGAAGCTAAACCTACTTTCTCAAGAGCCGGTGGCTGTGGTTCAAAGTAGTGCTCTGTCCCTGCCTTGTTGGATGGAGCACTAAAGGGAAAAACAAAAAGCAGCACTCGTGAACTTAGTGGGAGATGTAGAACTGGCAGCTTTGTAGTACAAATGTAGTATGGGAAGCAGCTTCTGGGAGCTGTGGCCTCAGAACTGTCAACTTATGTGGCCAAATTACATCTGAGTACGTGAGTGTCGTACGTGAGTGTCTGAGTGTCCCACAAGAGTGTCCTACAAGTCCTGCAAGAGTGTCTGCAGAGTGACGAAAGCGTCGCACCAGAGTGTCCCACAAGAGCGTTCTACAAGAGTGCCTCCTACAAGAGTGTCAAACATTGTTTGGGCGTTTGTTTTTGAGTACGTGTTTGCATTTGCATTTGGGTTCGCGGTTCGTGGGCTCCATCTTGTTTTTTTGTTGTTGTGGCTGTCCAGATCAATCTTCGTCCATCCACTGCGTCCTTCATAGACCATGGTTTTGGCAACGAGGATGGTCAGTGTGAAGGATTCCCTTCCACCAGTTAGCTTCACCGCTTCAAACACATTTTTGTTGAAGAACAACTAGAAAGAGGTCAGAGCCACACCAGGGCTCGTGGACATCGCCGGTGCAAACCTCCGACGTGGGGGCCGTGGGGGCCGTGGATGTGACATGGGGCACCCCCAGATCTCACACTCTCCATGGATCGTACCTACGCCGGACACTGCGAGCGTTCGGTGAGTTTCATGCATGGGAACACAAAAGACCCCCAAGTTGTGAGCGTTCAGAAAACCCCTATAGACTCCCGCTCACTACCATGGAAATGGACAATGGCCCCACGGAAGATCATTTTCCACTACAAACAGGTGGTTTTCCACTTCCATGTTCGTGAGTCGTTTCTTTCATCTTCTTTCCAAAGGCGCTGCCATTGGCCCCCAGTGTGTCGTTGCTTCAGTCGTCCCATCTTCGAACTGCCCAAGGCACTGGTGAAAGGGCTCACCAGAATCACTCCTCCAACCTGGGCGACCGACTCAGTGGACACGACTGGATCCCCTCCGACCTTCGGACCGTCAGGACTGGACCGGAACCGGTCAGGACGAAACGAAGCACTCTCGGTGTGTGACGGGCCGCAGAGACACTCTCGTTCGTGGCACGGACGAAGAGACAGGTTTTAGCGGCTTTCTCTCTTTTGTCCATTTTGGCAGGACCAGTCAAGCGTCAAACAGAGCCAACAAAAGCCTCTGAACATGATGGGTAGAGCTCCAAGTGATCCCGGGGTACATCGGTTTTTTTCGGTCAGATTGAAGGTTAGACACGGTGTCGACCGTTCTGAAGCTCTTTGATTGAGAACTGTGGTAAACTGGACTGTCCAGTTGCGATCCGCCAAGAAGAGGCAGATTGCAAAGAGTCAAACAAAGGTATTGATTGGGTCTATGATAAACCTGCAACAGTGGATGATGATGGTTAGGTTGCAGGCCGTGTTCAAAAATAGTGATTTGCTTGTTCACTGACTGTTACGACAGACCCAAGGTATTGATCCTCTTCACGCACTGATTCTAGTTTACCCAAAAGCTCGATACGTAGCTTACATGATACTTCTAGTTCACACCGATAAACAGCCAAAAGAGGATTTGAAGCAAATATACCCTAGGGCTCCAACCATACCCTCAGAAGGTGGTTAGACCCCTCTCGCCCACCCCAACCACCTTCTCAGGAGGTGGGACAGGAGCCCTAGGGATAACAGTCGTCAAGCAGGAAGGTGTGGTTCCAAGAGATCGGGTCAACCAAGAAGCTCAATCAGGAAGCAAACAGCTGGTGCTGGCGGGCGTTTCGCCAGGATCCAGGCGTTGACCGGATATGATTTCCGCCCATGGCAATTATGCATCAACATCGTTTTCGATATTTGGGTCTTGGCCAGGTAAATCTAGAAGGATTGGTGATACCAAGTACGCTTATCAAGTTGCGTTGCATTACTTGCATTTCAGTTTAGGGTTATGTTATTTATTTAGCTCATTCCCACCACTTCGTAATCGCAACAAGTAACCACAACAACTACAAGCACAAAAGGTACGAACGGACATGACACTATCAATGCAAACAAAAGGTACGAAGACCATCTGATCTACCGGTCTACCCGGAGCCCTGGTCCATGGAGCGCGTACGTGGAACCTCGCCTCCACACGTGTGGCCAACTGGATGGTGGGAGCCGTCCCCAAGGAGCGGCCGAAGAGCTTGATGCCATCCTCAGGAAGGAGAAGGGGGTTCGTCAGATGGGACCAGAGGGCGATGACAGCCATGAATGAGGAAAATGAGGTCAGTTAACTGGCAATGTTTCATTTGGTAGAACTGGGTGAAACAGAATGCGAGAACAAGAAAGTAAACACCATGTGTGTATATTTAAAAATATAACATAAACACTCTCACCCTTCAGAAAGGATCTTTGTGTCACAGTTGGATGCTGAGAAACAATGCAGCACGTGCTTCCTTCACCATTATTGTCCTTATCACTAAAGCCCCATAATTATCCACTGTGATAGACAAATCACTGATAGGAAGATTGTGAATGTTGCATTTCGTCTTTTGTGGGGAACATCAACAAATGACATGGAAATACATGGAACAGAGCTTGCTGAGCTTGCAGCAGTTCCATATACGTCCTATAAGTTTGATTGTCCAGAGCTTGCACTTGGAGAGCGGAATCTAACAAATACCCCTCACTATGTCAAAACCCACCTCTATAGGTGTGTGAAAGACAAACATCGTGAGACACACATGGTCCCTGAAGAATTTCTGAGTGACTTTCGAATGCTTTTTTAATACTGCGGCAAACACCGATGTGTAAATGCTTGCTTTCCCATGCACCCAACCCTAAGAATTCGGGCCCTCAAACACATATACCTATAGGGTTTGCTTCGGGTCCGGACCCCTGCAAAGAGGTCGGGTGCGACCCTGGCACGGAGAGCCCAAGGATTCTGACGGAACCAGGACAGCCATCCACCACCGAGAGGCTTTGGGCCATCGAAGCGTCTCCAAGACGAAGCGCATCGCTGCGGAGGCGTTCGCCATGACACCCTCCTGCGCGAACCGGCCAAACCGTCGAGGACTGGGCGACGCAGCTCGGTGACAGAGCCTCCTTGGTGCATCTCTATCCCACAGGGTCCTTAAGGTACAAAGCCTGGCTTAAGAGGTCGGTGAGTACAGGAGTTCCCTGGAGGCGGGTCGAACTGGGGCCGGACATGACTCACAATGGTCCTGGAAAAAGACATGACACTCCATGTATGGAAGAGATGCCTACATTGACCTGTGAAACCACACCAATCCTTACGAGTCAATGACCTCATTTTACTGGAGTTGGTCTTACAAAAACACAACTTGTTAGGAGGTTAAAAAAAAGATGTTTTACTGGGTCTAACTCGACTTGTATGTGAATGTAGGCAAATACCTAGAAGCACCTTTGTATATACACAAATACTAGAATAGCCGAAGGATGTTTTAGGTATGCCGTACTCTTGGGAGTGTTTGAGGAACTCTCGGGATCTAACCCGGCTCTCCATCTCTCTCCTCGTCGCAGGTGCCGGGACACACTCCGTAGCCGGGGTATTCCACAGCCATCACCTGGCATCCACAGCCGGTCCGACCGGTTTTTACAGGTAATCTTGGAAGTTGACAAGGTGGTCATCTTGTTGGAAGAGATCCAACAGGTTAATCCAACATGTTTGGTTTTGACCAGGCAACGACCCAAGTGGAGAAGTTGCAAAGGAGGAGGAAAGTTGCAATTGGAAAAACAAACAAGTCCGTACCTTCCTATGTTGGCCTGAGCTCGACCCCAGGTTGTGCCAAAAGCTAATTCCTGGAAACCCAGTCTCAGTACTCAACAGCAGATGGAGTCTTCCAGGATCAACATAGACATATTGGGACAACCATTTCCCAGACACTCCATGGGACTGCCATATATGCCGATCAATTGACCCCCCTGGCACCACCCCAACTGATACTGATCGGCATATATGGCAGCATACATGGAGTGTCTGGGTATTGGGACAACCATTTACTTCTATTTTGGGACTGGGTTTCCAGGGATGGCTCCAATTTCTACCAATCCCTCAGTGCCCGAAACCAACAAACGCTCTATGGTTGTTTCAGGGGTCAATGTAGGGCATCTATGGCAGTCCCATGGAGTGTCTGGGTTATTGAAATGGAGACATGTTTGTGTTGTTTTGTCGTTTCGGACTATCTGGTTATTTGAGTTTCCAGGTTGTTCCATCTTCTGTCACTTCAGTTCCCGTTGCCCAGCTCCACCGAGAACCAGAATTTGGTGTTTTTGGGGATGAAAAGTCAAGAACTTGGAGTTGCTGCTGTCCAGGAGTCAGGGGACAGACATAACATAAATTCCCCAGTGAAACGGGGATTGACCCAGTTCGGGAAGCATCCCCAATAAAAACACCAAAAAATCCGCAAAACAAACACGACACAAATTGGTACATGATGTCATGACTGTCATGGCTCATGAGGGGGTTGTGTTGCTTCCATGGCACGTGCACTTGAAAGAGATCTCGCAGAATTTTGCAGAAGCCTCGACGGCCGACACTTCTCTCGTCTTTGTGTCGGAAGACGAAGCGCGCGCGCGACAGATCAGGACCAGCGGGAGATCACCTGGTGGCTTCCTGTTCATTCGATTGGCTTTGGTGTATATACTGATAGGTGTTGTAAATCTCGTAACTACGGGGGGGGTTCACTCAAAGGTCTCCCTAGTGCAACACACACCCACCCATATAGTTTCCACACGTGCTTGGGGTTCACCTTAAATCTCCAGACTCCATCATTATAAAAGACAACACAATTTACCCAACTTGCTGATTTGAGATACTTGACAAGTACCCAACTTCCAATGACTCACGTGGCCTCAAAAACGGCCCAGGAGGATGAGCATCTGACGAACCTAGAGATATATACCTATACGAGTAGAACCCATTTGCCGATAGGAAAGGGTACATACCACTCCTGACCATTCCTGATTTCGCGTGCCCAAGATCTTTCCGCGGTCTGAACATATGCAACATATTATGTACCTATAGAGTCTCAGTTCGTATACAGGTACAGGACCTGTTTTTTAGTAGGGTCATGCATGTCGATCTGTTTTTTGTGTTTTCCGAGGATGCCCTCCAAAGCGGAGTCGAGTGGAGCGCGGAAGCGTTGGCCTTCAAACTCAATTGACACATGGGAGCGTGTTCAGTAATAACAGCCACGTGTATTGTTGCTATTCAAGTCAATTCTACATACAAATAAGGATCCGCAAAAAGGGTGTAGAACAAAATTACATGATCTCGGCCTGGCTCTATGTAATGCATGCATGCCCAAAAAGGGAACAAGTCCGTCCTTTTATGCAATGACACAACATGGAATTACCTATAGACATGATCTTCACAACGTACGGGAAGAAGCCGTCCACCATAGATCAAAGATTCATGGAGACCTTCTTTTAACATACAGAAACCCTCAAACAACATGGGTGATAACACTCGAATCTAATACGTATATGCTACCGCATTCGAAAAACAGGTTGTAATAGAACAATCCCTTTGGATTCTATAGATTAATGATATATAAGGATACCAGTAATAGCTTTGAAATCACACCCAAACCAACCGATGAAGTCTTCCAACACGTCCACCCTTGATGAAGTTCTATGGTTCTGAAGAACAAAAGACCAAAGTCTCAGCCTCATGGCAAACACATGAAGAGCCACCCCACCGTGGCCGCAAAATCAACGCCCAAGGGGCTATAGCTCAATCCCAGATCTTCAGCATTTGCATGGAAGTAGATGAAGAGGAACCGTGCCTCACTCGCTTTCCGTAGTTGTTATTTTTGTCCATCCTCCGCAGGGGAGCTGTGGCATAATTGCCGATCAGGCGATCAGGCTAGGAGTCAGGAGTGGTTGAAAAGGGATGGTATGTAGTGTATCTATAGGCGTATCTATTCCAGTTTCATGGAGTCTAGGTCATTCAACCTAAGGGCGACTTCCAAGATCTTCCAACTTGATCCAAAACAGAAAAATATGAACAAATACAGTCTTGGTTTGGTGCAAAGCATGGCAAACTTGGATCAAAGCAAGAAGGAAATATGTGTAAGAGATCTGATATTAAATGATATTACTATCTATGGGATAATATTGGATATTATTGCCAGCAACAATGAATGATGATGGCTAGTAAAGGCGTTTATCAAAAAATACATAATAGTGATAAAGTGTTACTTGGTTTTGCTTCAGGCACCTGGAAAGAAACCCCCAGTTTCGGGGATTGGCCCAGTTCGGGAACATCAAACATCACCTGATCCGCGTGTTTTGCTGGGACACCCTGGAGATAGTTGAACATATAGATGTATATGAAACTATACATAGACGTAGATGCTGGATGATGCTGGTAGATGTCCAAGCCGTCCAAGCGAAGCGAAGCTGAGTTTTTGTTGAACTATGGACGGTCTGGTGCTGCAAACAAGAACGGTCTCAGCAAGTTGGAAGCTCCAGGTTCTAAATACTACACAATATGAGCGATGGAACATATTTCCGATTATTTCCGTTGAGTTCTCACATGGGCCTTCCTTACCTCGTTCTCCAATCTCGCATCGCTTTTGGGGTGTAATCTCGTTCTCCATTCCTGTATCTGTTTTGTGCAATGTATACCCATCTAGTTCTCGAGAGGTGTTCCTACCTCGTTTCACCAGGTAAACATGTCATTAACAAAACCATTTCAAACAAATGGCGCAATTGATGCCAATCTCGTTCTCGGGTGTGTCCTACCTCGTTTTGCTAACTAAATCTGACATTGGGCTATAGAAAAAGGAACGCCCCTTCCACTTATCTTGACTACCGCAAATAAAAGCCGTTGCTCATATGACGAACACATCACATGGTTACGTGGATGGCATGGCTTTTGGAAGACCATGCTCCTTTACAAACAACTGGTGTTCAATGGATGGGCACATATTCCAATCCCAGACAGGTCGTATCTAGGTATGGTTAACATGACCCAATTGACTGGACCAGGGGTATCATATGGTTAACACACCCAAATGTCTGACTATGACTATGGTCATCAATGTCTGAGTATGGTGAAATTACATTACAAGATGTTCCCTAGGGCTCCAACCACCTCCTGAGAAGATGGTTGGGGTGGGTTTGGGGGGTCTAACCACCTCCTGAGGATATGGTTGGAGCCCTAGGGGTTACAAGTATGGACCATGGGACCATACCCGACCACACCCAATTCCCTTTCTTTTGGTGATTCTCCGTCACCGATCCTCGCTGGCTGCAGTCGCGCGCTGGCTCGGACGACGGTCGTGCGACGAAAGGAAGGAATTGACGGAAGTCTCCAACCCTAGCCTTCCAAAACGATACCCCAAAAATGGTGGAACAGCAGAGGTTGAAGAACCCTATAGACTATCCTATAGGTACCCCTGGTTACGGGTCCTATAAGGTCACTTAACATGTCTTGGGAGCCTGGTGGAGCCTGTTTTCTGGTAAAATCCTTAAGACAGCTGGGTGGTTCTGGATTCAGACAAGATCAATGGTGGGCGACCGGAAGCCAAACGGGCAGCCGAACGAGAGTCCTTTTGAAACCGAACTCATTCGCTTGACCGAAGACACGTGCCGATCCGCCAAGCGACGTGTCTGAAGGGAAGGAAAAGGCACGGCACCTGCAGACCATCCTGGCGAGATCGTGTAGACTCGAACTTGTCCTCATGGTCACGTGGAGGACATGAACATGGCCTAAAATTGGACCATGAACGTTCTCAGATGGGCCGTGGCTTAAGGGGACCCCCTCTCAAGGCCACCCCCTATGTTCTCAGTATACAAATATGGATGTGGCGAACACAACCAGCTGGTGAACTCCTTCGATTTCAGAGGAGCGCACTTCTTTCGGCAATCTGGCAAAGCTCGCTCTGGCTTAGCTCGCTCGCTGGTCACATGTGAACCTGAGGGATCGCAAGGATAAGGCATGTCACTTCCGGATAAGGCAGTCATGTTCTTCCCAGGTATCTTTGGAGCAGGCCACCTGTTCTCCACTTCACCTGTTCTCCAGTCATCCACCCAAAAACCAGCGCTTGATCCCAGGACAACATGGGCTACCCGGCCCAAAAACAAAAGAACGGACTTCATGGACTCAGCGGATCAAACACCGGACATCCACAGACCTCCAACCTATCATGCTTGGAGATGCTTGGAGTCAAAGTCATCCAAAGTCTAGGAAACCAAACTTCACCATGAAGGCAGGCTGCTCACAGCATTCTGATTGCTCCCGCATCAGTGTCAAAAGTCCGATCTCCAATGAAGACAGCCACTTGTGAAAGCGCCGTATGACTATGAGTCGAGTTTTGTCTGACAACATCTCTTGACTCATCCTTTCATGATCCTAAAGACGTCCTCACCATCGCCATGAGTCGTTCACTCAAACTTCACTCCATCCCGACGCAGCGGACGCTCCAAACGCTCTCGCACCCGTCCTCGCTCCACGCACGCTCAAGCCGCACGCGTGCCACGCACCCGTCCTCGCGTGGGACCAGGATCAACTCACGCGGAAAGCTGTCCTGAGGCGTTCAGATCGTACTGTACATATATAGGATCATAGGTGGTGGATTTCCGGCGTCCAATTCATGGGCACGGCACAAGACATTCCAGTCCACAGGTCGTGTCTGGGATTGTCTCGATCGTCGGTCCATCGCCGCTGGCTGCTTGCGACGGTTTCCTTCGGAGCTTCGGACCCTCTTGGTCTCGGGCCGCACAGGCCGGGAAGGACTCTCGGTCGACTCTCAGTCACAAGCTGCTGGGTTGGGGAACCAGACGACCACATGGTTCCCAAAACCATGTTGAACCGTAGAAATCCGAAAAACACACCGTTTACTTCGCGTATAAAGAAACAAAGAGAACCTATCTCGTCCAATCTCGTGAGGTCTATTCTGCTGATGGAACCGTAGCTCCCAGCTTTCAGAGGAACAGCTTAGTTTTAATGTGATTCTGGCGTTCTGTTTCTCCATTTTCTCACCTGACCTGTGTTTTATCTTCAGTAGAAACCTCATCCCTCTACTACAGTCTCCCTCCGAGCACTGGCGTCGCTACATCCTTCCATGCTGGATCCTTCTCCCAGCAGAGGTTGAAGAACCCTATAGCCTATAGACTATCCTAGTTCGGTACCCCTGGTGACGGGTCCTAGTTCAGGTCACTTAACCTCTGTAGGTCCTGGGCTGGCCAAGCCTTGTTTGCCAAGCCTCGAGGCTGTAGGAAGGCTTTGGCGCAGGGAAGATGACCCGCTCGACCAGATTCCAACTAGTCCTTAGCAGACCCTAGGGCTCCAACCATATCCTCAGGAGGTGGTTAGACCCCCCAAACCCACCCCAACCATCTTCTCAGGAGGTGGTTGGAGCCCTAGGGAGAGGAAGACGACGCGACTAGCAAAGCCGGCGAAGTCCAGCCGGCAAAGCAACCAGGTCCCAAATGGTTGGACATCGGCCTGAACAGTGTCTGGTAGTCTGTGGATTCATGGAATGCGGGGCCAACTCTTGGGGCTCAAAAGGGGTGCCGCTCCCCCGGCACTTGGGGCTCAAAAGGAGCAACCATGCAGTCACTGTACCTGGCATTGAGACCAACCTGAGAAGGGGGAAACGAAAGCCAGGAGACTACAACAATATGAGTGCAGAGTAGTTGCCATCTGCACTTGAAACTGGTCGAGTTGCACCTGTGAAGCGCCGACCATTTCTCCTCCTCTGAAGCTCCGACCACGCACACGGACCCCACGAAGTCCCGCTTGACCCCTCCAAAACTTGCGCATGTCGGTCGCCGAGTTGGTCACCTCTTGCTCCGACACTTGGTATCGATGCTGGTCTCCAAAGAGGGGGGTCCTTCCAAGGTGGGGTGGTGAGGTTTACACTCCTTGAAGTCTTCATGGAGGTGGAGTGCGCCACCTGTGCGGGCTTTATGTTTATATCACCCGGGCCACGCAATCCATGTCCTTTCTCAGCAGTTGAAGCCTATATACTGATGTGTCTGGTGCTTTCTGAGCAGTGGAGCCGCCCGCAATGATGAACTGTGAACAACAACGTCTGAGTCGAATGTCATCCAAAGATTCAATACACATGTGTCACCTACAGTATATGGGTGCATTTTGTCCGCTCCAGTGTGTGGGGATGATGCTAGTGATCCACTGACTCAGATGCCTTGCATCTTCTGCATCATGAACCCACCAACAATAACACATATGGCAATCCATGAACACCAGCAGGCTAATGTGGTTTACATGCACTTGTCCCCGTCTGCCACCCCGAACCCCCTTGTTAAGACTCACGACTCCTTCGCATAAATCAACTTCGGCTGGCGTCTCGAAGACCGCCGTCGGGACCCACCACAAGGCGTGCGTACGGATTCATCAGCTGTTGTCCTTGACATGTCTTGAAATAGGACAAGATACACCACCAGCCGCCAACATATCTGGTTGTGTTCTTGATTGACACATCTGATCTATAGATAGCTAAATTCCCCTGAAGTAGAACACTTCGCCAGCGCAAGCCACCTTGCCAAGCATCGATCGCGAATTCAGGACCAACCACATGGCACCTCCAAGGAGTCAGTGATGGGTGCAGCACTCTCCGAAAGTGAACGATGAGTGTGTGGGTTGAAATGTATTGAACTAGGGCGACCCTCCAGCCACGTGGTTCTAGTCATTCTAGTCGATGTTCTTCCAAATTGTCGAACTCAGAGGTCTCCCTGTTTAAACCGCATGTCGCCAAACGTTCGAGCCAACGAAGGGCCACATCAAGTGCCCATAGCCCATATATAGCACCAGGGTTCGCAAGACGAAGGTGCCCGTGGTTCACTGGGAGTTTTGTTGGCTGTGCTGAACTCACAAGTCGACTCATGCGATGGATGTGCTGAACACGCATGAAGACAAGTCTTCAGGTTTGCGGGCTCTGAGGATTTGCAAATGGGCCGAGGATGCAGTGTTGGCCAGGCCAATGTCTGCGCACGTGCTCTGCAGGAACTCAACGACTCCATAATTGGTTCCGCACGTCCCGTCCTGTGAACAGTAAACCATCATGATGAACGTTTGCACCACGTGATGTTCATCCGGAAGGACTCTAGGCAAGGCTAAGGGGGATGGTTGCGAATCACAAGCCCAAGGTGAACTTTATACAGTATACAGCTTGACATCCCCAGAAGCCATGCGAACGCTCGGGACCTGGGAAACATGTGAAGGTAGAAAGACACTCGCACCAGCTGTCTCTCTTAAAAAACATCTCGCACAAACCCTTGAACATCGAAAGTGTATGTTCACCATTGCCCTCCTTGCACACTATGAACAAAGTGTGTGATGGGGCAAATCGAATCCCATTCTGGATCCCATATAAGGTCTGTTGAACAGTAGAGGGTCAGCTGATCCATAGTGAATCCCATTCTTTGGGACTGTCACTGGGTGGGTGGTGGTGTAATCCAAAGTGGAGCGTTCCATCTTCTTCCGGGCAAGGCCTCTATTCCGGCAGAATGGTCGAATTGGCGTGCCAAAAAACACCTTCAGGATGGTCCTGGACCCTATATATATATATATATGTAGGGTGAGGGTAGATGTCAAACCTGACATTTGCTCATTCCACAGTTGCACCGAGCCCCGTCAGGAACTTCAGAAGAGTAAACCAGTGTAGCTTCACCAGTAGTTTCACCGCGTCAACCAGTGTAGCTTCACTCCGTGGCATGACCTCACCTCCTTGCTTGTGGCATCCACAGCTCATCCCATCCATCCGCATCCCCACCCAGGCACAGAGGCTCGCGCCGACGTCGGGCACCAGCAAGTCGTATAGCCGCTCTCGCCGCGGCGCCGCATGGCTCGTGCGGCAGCCACGCGCATCAACCCGTCTTGTTGGGGACGTTGTTTTGATTGGAGGGGTGATACAGGGGTTGAGACAGGCGGTGCGCCCTGCTGCCGGTGGTAACCAAAAGCATCCAAAAACTGGTTCTGCCGTCGATGTTTGGTCAAGAATCCCACATCTCCGGAGGTGAGGCTTCCCGCCAACGGGGCGTTGACCGTGCCAGTGGACGTGGTGCATCGAGTCTATGAGTCTGTCCATCGATGGAACGACACGGATCTCTCCGGTTGGGGCCACGGAGGTCTGCGATGACCGGTGGACGGTCTCACAACGTGAATTTAGGGTTCGGCCAGCAACTGCTGGGCCGGTTGGAATCACTGGTAAGTAAACAAGTCTATAATCAACAAAGATCCTGTGTAGAAAGTCTATATTCAATCAATAAGGCAAGTATGAACCATAGATTTCAGAGTTGCATGCATCAACAGAGACCCTTGTTCTGGGATGCTTCCTTCGCCATTGGTCAGCAACACAACACGAAGAGGTTCACCTGGCAGTTTCTCAGTGTTTCTCATGAACATTCATGGGCTCATGCTCCTGACAAGCCAATTCGGAGAGATCTGTATGTCACCGATGTCACACCACCACTCTGCATCACCGACTGCTGTTCTGAACCGCAAGCAGCGCAGTGAAAAACCGACGGACGACTGAAACGTACCTTCGCCTTCCGTTTGACCCTCTAAAGGAGTGTGGAGTCTGGTTTTGTAGCGTGATATAACTCTTTAGATCCCTTTAGTAAAACAAGTGTTGTTTGGGATTCAAGCCTTTCTATAAAGTTCTGATGGCCCAGGATTCCTAAGCCCTTAGTAGCCTTAGTAGATCCCTGTTTGCTTGACCATGTATGCCCTGTTCTCGTCTTTTTCGGTGTCTCGTGGCCGCCAAACGAATCGATCCCTCCCCTCCAAAGGAGCTGGGTGACCCTTCCATCTGTTGAGTGGGAGGTCTGGCCACAACCCATTCCCCATCATTCCCCCAACAAGGAGCCAAATCAGCTGATCCACTGAAATCAAGGCGACCACGGAACGTTCCACCCGTTCTTGTTTACAACAAAGGCGACCTGCAAGCGATGCAGAGCCAAGTCCCACAGCCGCTGCCGCGGCACGGCAGCGGCAGTGAAGCTTTCGCGGCCCACGATGTGTGCTTTTGAGAACAATAGTCTATAGTTTTACGCCAGATCTCGCGTGAAACGCGTCTGACATATGCACGACGCACAGGTCGAAGCATAACGGAAAAGGCAACAAGATGCCACCTTACAATGTTTTACTTTGTAGACTACAAGACCAGGTCAACCTTCCATTGCTTTAAAGCCTAGGCTTTGTGCTGATGTCTTCCCTTTGCCGGACCGACGTCGTCGAACGACGTTGTCGAACGAAGTTGACATGCGCCCTTGCCTCGCCTCCACGTCGCCCTGAGGAAAGAGCACCACCTGCCAATTCAAAAGAAACAACTGTGCCCCACACGCTCCTGGACCCTCATATGGAGGGTCTGGGGTCTCAAATCCCTTGGCTTTGAGGGACCAAGGGCTGTTTGGAGTGTCTGGGGCCAACAAAATTGGATTTGATTCGTGCGGACAATCTGTCTTGACCATGAGCAAAGATGTTCTGAAACATCTTGAGGCGAATCAGTGGAGATGGGAAGCACATGGCACGGTTCTCTATGAGAAATGTGGTTACTTTGTTTGTCCATGATTTGCTTATTGATTGGCTCTATCGCCCACGAGTTGGGTACAAACCACTGATGTGCATCTATCTGTTGGGGTGGAACCTGAAAGATAACCTGAACTGGTCTGTGATCAGGAAACATGTGCTCTGGCCCTATATCAATTGGCACCAGACTCGGGTGTATGAGCATGGAATAGTCACATCCTTACAGGTTGGGGGGCAAGTCAAAACTGAAGGCCACACGATGGAACTCAAACATTTCAACGCATCCAAGTACTTGGAATCCAATGTAAGACCTCAAATTCCTTAATGTAAGTATTGAAATCACTCACCTGGCACTATGAATGGAAGGTCAGTATCAAGCAAATGGACATACAGTTGGTGATTCACCAGTTTGGATTCGCTTGAAGAAAGTACGTGGACCCAGTGCCACCATCACAGTATATCATCTGATTTGCCAGCATGTTCAGATTGAAAGTGTTAGGCGTCGGCGCAATCACGAAGCAGGTTCTCTGCGAGAGTAAAATGAGATGCCTGTAATTGCCTGTATGTCAGAATGCTTAGGTGTCCATTTGCTAGCGGCTGCTTTGACTTTCTTCAGATGATCCTGGTCTAGATCAACGAACTGTGGCAATGCTAGCTTGAAATGGCTTGCCGTCTGCTTGAGTTGTTCTAATCTAGTGTCTGTGTCACACAGGGCAAGGCTTTGCTGAATCCGCGTCGCACCCGCGAATGGCAGGAGATCTCGAAGGAACTTACTTGTAGTAATGCTTGAAGCTCCGCACTGTAAAAAGGAATTCCACTAAGTGACTGCGTGGTCCGTCTGCAGGGCGGGACCACCCCTGTGAAGACTCCCACCAGCTGGAAGAGCTATGCGTCAAAGGACGAATCCTGTGTGCATTGGACTGACTAATCACACTGTGTAAGGACTGGATGGCCGGGTAGGCCCGGGTACCTACAGGCACCGCACCTACGCTAGCTAGTCGTGGGTGGACAGTGCCGTCTCAAACGGCACACGAAACCGGCGCGAGTGGTCCGGTCGTCGGCGCGAGTGGACACCCATACAAGACACCGGCAGGTTCTCCAGGTTCTCATTCCCAGACACTCCATGGGACTGCCATATATGCCGATCAGTTGGGGTGGTGCTAGGGGGGTCAATGTAGGCATATATGGCATACATGGAGTGTCTGGGATTGATCTATTTGCGCAGTGTCCTCTGTGTTACGAGGCTTCCTCTTGGAATCCAAAGCCAGCGTCGGAGGCAATCTTGCCGCTGTTGAAGCTCCATGAGAGATCATTGCTTTCGGCAATGTAGGTTTCAAACCCGCCAGATTGATTCTTCACCAATTTCGGTGCTTTGCAATCCTCATGAATCCTCCCCTGGACCTAAAATCTCAACTGTCAAACAAGTGGTCGGACCGGCCGGCGACCCAGTCCCATCCGCCTCATCGATCATAGCCACAAAGTTGGTCTTGTCCGCTTGGCACTTCATGCTGACGCTCAAGGCCTCCATCTGACGGTCACCGGCGGAATTCTTGGGCCTCCACCATCGAAAAGAGGTCCGGACCCGAACCAAAACCTTTCAAACGCCTATGTGTTTGAAGGCCCAGTTTCTTAGGGTCGTATATGAGCTTGGGGCAGTCCATGCAACTCCCAAAAAAAGAAACAAACTAAATTCCGCCCTGAGCGGGGATCCACTGCCACAATCGAAACGAAGTTTGGATCCTGAAAGCCAATCACTCTCTTAGTGGGTGACAGTGGATTCATAGGGATCTGAAATGATTTTAAAGATCGCCTTGTAGACCACACCTCCAATGTTTTCCCGGCGAACCAACGCATCATAAAACATGATAAACCATATATGGACAGAACCTTTGCCGCAATTGTGAGCAAATGTCCGTCCGAAATTCGGGATCTTGAACGAACCGGCGTTCAGGGACAGTCAATGACCGCAAACAGCTCCTCAAAGCCAAATCCTCACTGTCACTTGACTTGTTCCAATTTGGCATGATGTACTAGACAAACCTCGTCTCCACTGAGTGAGGAACAAACTTGAGCATTTCCAGGCCGGGATGCCCCGAAACCAAGAACCACCCGTCGAAACTCGGCTCTCGAAGTCATCAAACTCGGTTCAGGGAGTTGGTGAATTGGGTGTTTCTATAGATGCCATGATCTGCAACAGGTAGCTGCCAAGCTCCGAAAAGCCAAGTCGGACTCATCTCCGAAGTCGTCCTTCACCCTCCCTGGACAAATCCTTGGACTCGACCTCTTCGCACGGGTCCTGGTATTTTCAAGGGGGTTGGGCGCCTCGCAAAGAATCCTCATCATTTGTTGAAGGTCCGGATGTTTAAGGTACTTGTGTGTTAGAACAGGGAGACTCCTATTTCCAAAACACAACCATGAAAAAACAAAATGCAACAAAACAAATGGTATGCCTCTACCAGAACACACTTTTCCCTGCAACTCTTGCATGCACTTTGCTATCGACTTGAAACCAACTAAAGGCCCGGGCCCTGTCACACTCCACTACCATTCCTGCATGTGCCTGCAACTCTTTGAAGGACAACCTCAGCCAAGGCCCGCGGTTTGCAGCACCATCCCATCCCTTGGATACAAAGGACCAAACCTTTTTGCCTTTTGGCTCGAAGTCTGTGGATTGTGGGCCCATGTCTCTTCATAAGGTGACCAGCATAAACCATTGCCTTGTGCCCCCTATCTGGTTTTAACGGTTCTTATACTCCAAACTGACACCCTTGAAGGAAACAAAAAAGGTTCGGGTTTCAGTCAATCCACGTGCACCTGAACAAACAGACAGCTCCCTGATTCCGTGCCTTCGACAGCAAAGCACCCTGTCGAGGTGGAACGCTGCGAGGCAACTGGAACCGGAACCACCTGTGACAGGCAGCACTTTGTTCTTCAAGTGCTTCTCCATATCTTCGTTCTCCGGAGCAGAGCCTGGTGATGAGACGGGTGCAGGAAGAACTGAACAAATCTGGGGTTCAAGTTGACATATACACACGACGGATCATAATTCATAAGGTGTAAATTTTGGGCAGCCACTTGGCTGTTAGTGAAATGATGTGAAATGTAACTTGCATTTGCAAAATAACTATCCCGGCAAGAGACCCCAAACAGTTTGTGTGAGGTCTAGAGGTGCGGCAGCAGAAAGTCTAGAGATCTAGACGCATTGGGGTCCAGAGAGGTGATGGTGGTGATGAAGGTGGAGATCGTGGTGATGGTAAAAACGATTTTGCTCCAAAATTCCCACCGAGTAAAAATATGAGTGAACCAAAAGTGCTTTCACGAGAAAGTCCACGAGTGGAGCCACGAGTGAACTTGCAAACAAAATGAAAGTACAACGTTTCCTTTAACGATAAGTTGACGAGTCGAGCGACAAGCGAACTTACAAACACCATGAGTACAAACGGTTCCTTTACGGTAATCGACGAGTCGATGAGCACTGAGCTGTCAGGGATTGTAACAAGTAAAGTGTTTTAAACTAGTCAAGTTTTGGCTGAAGAGCTCTGTGCTGGCAGGGACTGTGACAGGTAACGGTTTGAGACTAGTCAAGTTTTGGCTGAAGGCATTGAGTATTTTTTGAAAGTAGTCAAGTTTTGGCTGCGCTGGCAGGGATTGTGAAATTTATGAACAGTAACTAGTCATTTTTTGCTGAGCACTGTGCTGGCAGGGATTGTTACTGTAAGATTTTTGAACCTAGTCAAGTTTTTTCTGAAGAGCACTGTGCTGACAGGCATCGTAACAAGTAAGTTGTTTGAAACTAGTCAAGTTTTGGCTGAAGAGCACTGTGCTGGCAGGGACTGTGACAAGTAAGGGTTTTGATACTAGTCGGGTTTTGGCTAAAGAGCAAAAAAGACTGAGCAAGTTCTCACTAGTTTTCACTTGTTTTTACCAAGGCATATCAACCATTGACATGGATGATACCTCATGGAGAAACATCTTCTATGCGCGCTTCATCCAAATTGACATCCTTGACAAGTTGCTCCAATTTTCTTTTGCGATTGACAGCTTCTAGCTCAGTCAGACCACTTCTAGGCATGATTGCTCTCAGTCAACAACCTACACTGGCTGAGCTAAGCACACTTTGAGCCATAGTGAATGTAATGCGATTGTTTCAATCCACAATTCACTCTCCATTCAGTCATTCGCTGCAATTCACTGATTGACAAACTCTCTTCGGTCACACTCATTTTCAGACACCAAAACAAAAGCACACTGTTCATTGTTCAAATACCATCATGATACACGTTATTTATTCACTAAAAACTGCTTTACTCTCGCGACATGCGCAGAAAAAACAACTCTATCACATGTGCTTATTTTTGGGGGGTTAACTCATACTTTAATCATTACTATTCCTCTTCCGCGCGGAGCGCGGATTTTTTTCAGCACTTCTTGGGACCAGAGGCACCACTGAGCCACCCAGCAGGGCTGTCTTGGTGTTGCAATGGTGTCACCTAGGTGTTTTTAAGTTCCAAATCAGCTCGCACTGAACTGAAATCCTCCAATTACCACACTGACAAGCAAGCATGTAGAATGAAGGTTATTGGAGTCCAATGATGCTCAAAATTCAATATACTGTTCACATTCATAAGACACACTGGTCTCTAAGGAAACCCTTTTGATTGATTCAAACAACCAATCAAGCACCACATTGAATCACAATCCAGCGTCGCACATTTTTCCAAAGATGACATGTCATGTCACTCACCCCAGAACCAACTGGCTGGCTGTAGTCTCTTATTATGTAGGTACTTTCCCCACATCACAACATATAATAACCCATATCGCATAAGACAAAAATCATTGAGTGCGTGTGGTCATTTGACAAGCCCTCATCAAATCTTTCAAGCCTCTCGCTGCTCGCTGCTTTCCACCATCTCATTCTGACAGATCATGCACGGTTGCGCAAGCGACTCTCCGGGCACATCGGCACTTTGTCCATCAGCAGAAACTGCATTCGGCATTTTGCCCCGATCACAGCTCCACAAGGAAGGAATACGCAACCGTCCACCCACTTGTTGTGTTTCATGTGGAAGGGGGCCTGCCATCACGGCCGGAATGATGCCAACGTGGCAGCTATACCACCTTCTGTGGCACACATCAATGCGATCCAGGCGCACATAGTGCCTCAAGCACTTGTTTGTCGCATTGGACCAATTTGGCGTTCGACTAACCTCAAAAGCCATGATCTCATGGCCATTCAGCACAATGGCACTGCTCTTGTTCCAGTTCCTGCAGCGACAAGCCAAGAATCCACTTTACCACCTATGGTATGATTCTATGCGCAAAGCAACATCAATTATATAACTGCCACAAATCATCTGCAGCATCAAATTTAAAGCTGGGTCCTCTTCCCGCCGCCGGTCAGAGACACATAGCCTCCCTGGGCCGCTGAGGCATTCAGCCAGAAGTTTGGCTCCCTGGGAGCACAAGTACCAATGAAAGTGATGCCAAAGAAGTGGAGGCAATAATAGCATTCATGAACGCAATGTGCATAAACTTTACAATGACTGACCTCACTGTATCCAAGCTCCATGTCATAGATCTCAGCCCTTTTTTGCACGGCTCGAAGACTGAAAACTGCTTGTGAATGGAGTTTACCTTGTACATCCTCACCATGCCACTGTGCGTCACCTGGACACCTTGGTAGGCAGGCTGCAGGCTTGGGTTCACATACACAACTTTTCAATGATTGATGTTCTTTCACTGCCTCTTTCTGAAAATTGTGACGCTACTTGACTTGCAAGACAAGGAACAAAAGAAATGCAGGGCATTGACATTCATGCACCAGGTCCATGAAGCACTGAGGTCATAACCAGCAGTCTTCATCTGCAATGTTGATGAACTCCATTGCAAATCAATCAAATTGAAATTGTCCAAAAATCCAAATGTCAAGAGCTCTGTAGTGCGGTCGCCTGTGTGCAGCATGATGTCGAAGCTCCGGCCGTAGCCTTCTAGTCCTTCTGCCGGTCCATCAAGGGCGCCGGGAAAAGTCAACAGATGTTGCACAGCTGCAACTGATCCTGTTCGCCCAAGCACCAAGCCAGCCCGTAGCTTCTGAGTTCGAGTGAGGGCTCCCTAACCATGTAGCACTCCAGCCTCCCTTGCTTTTTGAACACTGTTGGTTGAATTGGGGGCTGAATGGGTATAGCTGCATCCATTCCCAATCTGCTCCCCGCCGATGAGACCAAAGTCGCTGCATGTGCCGGCCCTTGTCCTCCTTGGATGGGTCACGGAACTGCTGCATGGAAACATTCCAGCCCTTGAAAGCCTCCCAAAGTTCCACAATGGCAGAGTAGTGGGCGCAACGCGGCACTCTGCACAGAATGGAATTCCTCTGAGAAACAGAAGACGTAGCCCTCACGACTAGGAGCCTCCAGTCAGACGGCGAAATGCTTGGGTGTTGCACGAGGCCAAGCAGCAACTTGTTCACCTTGCTGTTTCCCAGCCCACCATCGAACGCCAGGCCCCGTACAGGTACCTGATCGTTGGCTGCCACTCGTGCTTGAAGCACTTCCCCAACAAGCCTGAGGACAGTGTCTGCTGAACCATCTCCAAGGCGTCTTGGCACCATGCAAACATCAAACGTGTGTCTGTTGCTCCAACATTGCGACAACACAAACGACATGGTCAAGCTGCTGAGCTCTTCTTGCGGCAGGTTTGCGATGGTGATTCCTTCCGATTCAAAAAACTCCTATATCTGACTCCCCATCGGAGGACCAAAAGCCGCCCACCAGACCACGATGACCAACTGCTTCTGCAACTTCTTCAGCAATGGGGTGAACTGCTGGGTGACCCATGTCTGTGCCGATGTGCCTCAAAGTTGCAAGGCTGAACGCTATTGCTTGCTGCGGATCTTTGCTCCAGTGGGGATGGCGCCTCACTTGCGCACGCAACATTCGCTCACCTGTACACACACCATGTTTTTTAAAGCAACTGTGCTAACAGGAATCGCGCACCTGTACAAACATCGATTACAACCAAGTTCAGACTTTGCCTGGTACCACAGACTCACCTGCGCACACAGCCTTGCACCTGTCATGAAAAGTCGACTTTAGACCACCAAAGCACGAGTTTCCCTTGCACCTGCCACGAAAAGGGACCACCATGCGCACGGCACCACAACGAGAGCGCAGTCGCGACAAGCACCCGCCGCGGCCACCCAGATTTCACGAGCCTGGGCAGTTGTAATGTACGGCGACGATTTCGAGAGACATGAATTGTACTGTAAATAGCAGCGAATTAGCCGCACACGCCCGCGCCGTCAGTGATCTAGCCCCGGTGCTTAACTACTACCGTAAGAGGATCCCCAGTGTGTCCACACTGTTTGGGGAAATACATTCAATGTAACTGGCCATAACTATGACGTACAGATACTTACAGTATCTGCTTGCTTGCAGCCGCAAAGTCAGTGAATCTCTCCGAGAAGGGAAAACAAGATTGTGCGCTTCTTTTGTTTAAACTGCATGTGTCTCCGTTCCCTAAGTTTCCAGAACCCCCCGTGCAACTCGGATGTCCTCCTGTCGGCCCCAGTGAGTTCGACGGTTTTCGTACAAAAAGCGACTGCTTGATTACGTCAAATGCCAAGCAGCTGCAGTATCCACCCAGAGAGCAACCTAGAATTCTTAGAAAAACTTCTGCTATCTGGGCACGTCGATCTTTTTGAGGCTTTCACCACCCACCCACTCGAAGCTTAGACCGACACTTTCACATGCCCATCCCAACAACCACCGGGTTTGACTCGCTTTCCGACCGCCACGCCGCGGTGCGCCACGCCTCCCAGCGGCCACCCCCGCCTTCGAAGAGGAGTAAGGTGAAGCCCCGCGACTTCTTCAAGACTTGATGCAAGTGACGGCCTCCGACCAGCAGCACATCCTGAGCTGACACGGGCCTACGTGCGGGCGGGCCTACGCCCAAGTGCGAACAGGGCGGCCGGCCTAGCCTAGGTATACCGGCCGCCCCGACCAGGAAACACCCCGACCATCGGATGGGGAACAAAGGGTACCTATGTTTCTTCATGCAAAAAAACCTCTGAAAACCACCAAAAAGGACACGTCCAATGGTGTGAACTCTAGAGAAAGTGATCCAATGTGATCCACCAGATTCGAAGCTTCGAAGATCCGGTGTTTCCAAACCCCGACACAAAAACCCATATATTAGGATTATGCTCCTGGCCATGCTCCTAGCCTCCCAAATGGTCGAACCACCGGTCGGGTTTGGCAGGGGATCTCTAACTCGGCTTCGAAGTCTCCTCAAAACATCTCAGATCTGGGGCAACCACATCTAGGTGTCGCTGCACCCAATAGACCCGGTGATTGGTTGCGGACCAACAAATCCGGGGGAAAAAATGACAAGTAGAGTGTTCATCCAAGTTCTTCGGTCAGTAGAACCCAGTTCAATTCTAGAACCCCCTGACCCTGGGTGTACCATCCAATACATCTGATCTCCAAAGACACAGGATTCTAGATTCTATTCTAAGGGGTCACAAACATGGATCACAAACACAGGGTAACCCGTACCCTGTTTGTGTTCTATAGATTCTAGCACCACTGGGTGGTGCTGGTGGATCTGTATGGATCTGTACTGGTCACGACCGACCGCTGCGCCGGGCGCACGCCCAATCTCTCGCCCAAGGCACAGGAACTCGGTCTCCAGCATGGATCCTGGCGTTTCAAGATCTGCCTCTAGATGACAAAACATTATAAAACCTCCTCATTTCGCGACGTAAACACCTCTTCATACCAGCACCACCCAAAGTGGTTGTTGGATGACAGGATGACAAATATGAGTCGCGTCGAATAAATCACCCTTTGCGTGGTGCTGGTATAGGAAATGTCATTCATCAATAGTCTACATGTCTACAGTCGTCCTCAAGCCTTGGGACACTATGGGACACTATGGGAGTAAGACATCATCAAGCCTTGGGACACTATGG